CAACATAGAAGATAGAAATTACAGAAAGCCAGCTGATGAACAAAAGGAGAAGAAAGACAACTACAACAAAGTGATTTCCCTTAGCCAAAACTAGGTCAGCAGTTTCATCCATTTCATAGCAGGGAGAAATTTGCTTTCCCTCACAGAACCTCTCTAGAAGAGTACACACAAAAGATACTCAGCGTTTTGTTAAACTGAGTACTTATTCTGTGCTCAAGAGTTGGGATAGAGGAAGATAGACGAAATTAAGAAATATAATGAAAGAAATCAAAAGAAGCAAGGGAAACATAAACATGAAGTAATCATGTAACAAAACTATATATAACAGGCTAACCCATATGGCATAACACTTAGAATGGTAAGTACGTTGAAAATATGCTGATTATAAAATAGGTGCAGTAGGAATGTGATCCCCTGTATATGAAGAATTTATTAAAAGCTGCCCTGACTTTTGTTGCCTTCATTCAGAATTATTTATAGATAAAAATTTGTGTTTTACTGGGGAAATTTCCTCAATATTTTTTGTATAATTTCTCTAGCTGCCATTGTTGTGGGTTTGTGTTTATTTGTAAACATCAATCTTATAAGGGAGCCTAATCTCAGCTGAGTCTTATCTCACCCTGCTTGAATCAGTACTCAGCTTTAACTGTGACGATTGGAACATGTCCACATAATCAATTTCAACCAGGAAAGGAGAAAAAGTTTATCTCAAAAGGATACCAGGTCTATTTTGTTGAAATACTTTAAAATACTTTTTGGTTTGCATTAAGCCAAGGGACACAATAGCTAAAACAATCTTGAAAAAGAACACAGTTGGAGGATTCATACTTCCTTATTTCAAAACTTACCATAAACCTGTAATAGTCAAGACAGTGTGGTATTTGCATGAATATACACATACAGATCATTGAAATGAAATTGAGAGTGCAGAAATAAAGCCTTATATTTATGGTCAATTGATTTTTAACAAGGATTTCAAGACAATTCCATGGGCAAAGAATAGTCTTTTCAGTAATTGGAGCTGGGATAACTAGATCTCCACATGCAAAAGAATGAAGGTGAATCTCTACCTCATCATATGCAAAAATGAAACACAAAATGGATCATAGACTTAAATGTAAGGGGTAAAATTATAAAACATAGGAGTAAATCTTCATGATCTTTGGTTAGGAAATGGTTTCTTAGATATGACACTAAAAGCACAAATGACAAAAAACATAGTTAAATCCAACTTAATATTTAAAAAGTGTGCTTCAAAAGACACCATCAAGAAAGTGAAAAGAGGGCTTCCCTGGTGGCGCAGTGGTTGAGAGTCCACCTGCTGATGCAGGGGACACGGGTTCGTGCCCCGGTCCGGGAAGATCCCACATGCCCTGGAGCGGCTGGGCCCGTGAGCCATGGCCGCTGAGCCTGCGCATCTGGAGCCTGTGCTCCGCAATGGGAGAGGCCACAACAGTGAGTGGCCCGCATACCGAAAAAAAAAAAAAAAAAAAGAAAGTGAAAAGACAATCCATAGAATAGGAGGAAAACATCAACAAATCTTACATGATAAGGGGCTTGTATCCATAATATATAAAGAACTTTTACAATCCACTAATAAAAAGAACATAACACAATTTAAAAAGTGGCCAAAGTAGCTGAACAGACATTTCTCCAAAGAAGATATACAAATGTTTAACAAGCACATGAAAAGATGCTCAACATAATTAGCCATCAGGAAAATGCAAATAAATCACAATGAGATACCATTTCACATACATTAGGATGGCTATCATCAAAAAGATAGATAATAAGTGTTGGAGAGGATAGGGGAAAATTGGAGCCCTCATACACTGCTGGTAGGAATGTAAACTGATGAAGCCACTTTGAAAAACAGTTTGGCTGTTCCTCAAATATTAAACATAGAGCTATTCTATGACCCAGCAGTTCTCCTCTTTTTACCCAAGAGAAATAAAACCTTGTACATTAATGCTCATAACAACATTATTCATAATAGCCAAAAAGTAGAAACAACCTAAATGTCCATCAAATGACCAGTGACTAATAAATAAATAAAAGTGATGTATTCATACAGTAGAATGTTATTCAGCCATAAAAAGGAATGAAGTAGTGATTTAAATGAACCTTGAAAATATTATGCTGTGTGAAAGAAACCAGTCACAAAAGGTCACATATTGTATGATTCCATTTAACTGATATGTCCAGAATAGACAATTTTATAGAGACAGAAAGTAAGTTAGTCATTGCCTCAGGTTGGTAAGAAACAGAGTATAATGTTTCCTTTCGGGGTGATGAAAACACTACAAATTGATTCTTGTGATGGTTGCACAACTTTGTGACTATCCTAAAACAACATTGAATTGTACAAATTAGATTTGTGAATTTTGTCTCAATGAAACTGTTAAAAAAAGTTACATGGGCAATATTTTATATTTCAAGTCAAAACTAAATCTAAACTCTAGTACTGTGATTTGAAAGCCATCTATAGCATAGGGATATATCATCTAGGAGATAAATGGACAGTAATCTCACCCTGTTGGCCCACAATTGATCAAGTCTTTATTAGAATCCTATATCTAGTTTTAATCGCTACCCTTTAATAATGATGTGGAAAAATTGAATATGATTCTGAGAAGCCCATCACAGTGATGCTCAATTATTACAGGCCAAAGCTGATGAAAGAACATGAGGATGTTGGTATAATTTAATCTAGAATCAAGGAGAAAAGCAGAGCTGGGTATTTGGGCTATGTAATCAAGGGTTGTCTGCTGACATAGGAAATCTACTAGCATATGGCATGAGAGGAAATGAACTAGCTCTGCACCATATCTGTAAAGGATATAATTAAGTAAAGTTGGAATAAATTGAAACCAGATAACTTCACATTATATATTTTTTCTGATAATGAGAGTAAAATTATTTACAGGAAGATGTTAACAAGACAGATTTAAAAATCTAGAGATACTTAAGATTAGGAAGTACAGATACTTTTAAGAGTTTAAAGAACATGAAAAATGCATAAGCCTTTTGTGTATGAAAATACAGGATACAAATGGATATACATTAAATGATTACAGTTAAAGAAACTTCCTAGCAAAAAGACTAGAAAGAAATATAACAGAAGTTTAACCGTTCTTATCATTAATTTGAGGATGAGTGCATATTGTTACCTTTTTTCCTGTATTTTTTATATTTCTCATAATTTACATAAATATATTTATAATCAACAAAAATTTAAAAAGCATATAGGGTACATATAATCTGTTTTAGTTTATGTGTGTGTGTGTCCTCTCCAGATACTGTCACATTTGTTATTTGTTATTTATTTATTTATTTACTTATTGCTGCATTGGGTGTCTATTGCTGTACGCGGGCTTTCTCTAGTTGCGGTGAGCGGGGGCTACTCTTCGTAGTGGTGTGCGGGCTTCTCATTGCGGTGCCTTCTCTTGTTGCGGAGCATGGGCTCTAGGCGCATGGGCTTCAGTAGTCGTGGCATGCAGGCTCAGTAGTTGTGGCTCATGGGCTCTGGAGTGAAGGCTGAGTAGTTGTGGTGCACGAGCTCAGTTGCTCCGTGCATGTGGAATCTTCCTGGATCAGGGCTCGAACCCGTGTCCCCTGCATTGGCAGGCAGATTCTTAACCACTGCGCCACCAAGGAAGTCCAAATGTCACATTTTAATCACATTTTTTCCGCAGGCAAGAAATGTCTACACCAGGAACAAAGAGATTGTGTTAACCTCTCCACTTCATTAGATTTTTTTTCTGAATTATTAGATCTATCTGATAACACTATCTTATTTGGGATTTATGATTTTCACCAAATATATCTTACACACTATATTTTCTCAAATAAAATACAATGTAGTGAGAATTCCTCATCTCTTATTTTAGATGCTTATACTTTAGATATTTTTAATAGCGAACTATTTCACAAAACATACATTTTACCACCCATATTGCTTGAGTATAAAGAATCTATAAAGAGAAAAAGTAATTGGACTCTTTCCAGGGTGCTCTGGTTTAATTCGATTTTACAATGCCACTGGCTCATCTTTCCTTTGGGGTTCTCAAAGCTGTTGTAGCTCAGCAAGTATTTACTGAGTGATTACCATGAGCAAGTTTCTTCTCAGAGTTTCAAAGTCTTTATATTCCCACATAGCAGATAAATTTTAAAAATTTTGCAAATTAATCTAAGTTAGTAATTCAGAGTTCTTATTTGGAGATTCCCAGGTAAGCAAGCCTGCTGGAAAGTAAACACACAACCAAGAGGTGTGCTCCGGCTTCTATTCTTTTTTTGGTCTATGGTAACTTTCATCCACAGTCCTAGTTGGCTTTTCTATATGGACTTTTAAGTTTGATGTCAAGTTAATGACTATGTAATAATATTTACTTAATATACGTTCATTTCTCTAGAACTGTAGCCTCCAAGAAATTCTGATTTCTGGGCTTCCCCTCAGCCCATATTTCTGGGGTAGGCATCTTATGTGTGTTTGTTTTAGCTCACTGAATTTGAAAGCATCCAGGCTCAGATGATTACGTTAAAGGGTTTTGCTCATTTGCCTTCTCCATAGAACAGTGGTCTTCAGCCCTTGACACCACAGTCTCTGGGGAGCTTTTAAAACATGCAAATCCCTTGACTTCACCCAAGGCCAACTGTATTACAATATTGGAGGTACAAGGGGTGATTGGGGTTTTTAGTGGTGTTTTATTGTTTATTTTTTTGTTTTCCTTTAAGAGCATTACAGGTGATCTCTAAGGTACAGTGAGATTTGACAATTACTGCATTAGCCTGTGAATAACTTGTGACCAGGGATGCTGTGTTGTTATCTTGATTTTCACCATCTAATACCGTGCTCTGTATTCGTTGTTCTATGAAAGTTTGTTGAATGAGTGATGGGCCAGACATCCCCTATCATATTTGCCCGTGCCTGCAACCTGAGTGACATTCAGCTGAGTCCAGTTCCAGGTTTAGTCATGTCGGTCTTCATTTTCTTAGCACAGGTGCAGCAGTGAACACCAGTGAGAGTCTCCCTCCATCCTCGTCTGTCAACGATATCTCCTCCATGTCCACTGACCAGACCCTGGCATCTGACACTGACAGCAGCCTGGAAGCCTCGGCAGGACCCCTGGGTTGTTGCAGGTGACTAGCCGCCTGCCTGCGAAACCCAGCGTTCTTCAGGAGATGATGTGATGGAACACACACACGCAGACACTCACGCACACACACAAACACAGACATGCAACGACAAGAAAACAGCAAGGGAGAGAATCCAAGCCTAAAATTGAAACAAATCTTTCAGCCTGCTTCTTCTCCAGAGTTCTGTATTGCAGCTAAGCCAAATGTATATTTAACTTCTAGTTGCTCTTGCTTTGGTCTTCTTCTAACGATGCTTACTACAGAAAGCAAATCAAACACAATTAGAGAAGCCTTTTCCATAAAGTGTAATTTTAATGGCTGCAGAACCAGCGACCTGTAACTGCCCTTTCAAATGGCATGACAAGGTGTGCAGTGGTCCCATCCAGCATGTGTGTGTCTCTATCTTGCATCTACCTGCTCCTTTTGGCCTAGTCAGATGGATGTAGATACAGATCCGCATGTGTCTGTATTCATACAGCATACTTACTTAGAGATGCTACTGTCCGTGTCCTCAGGGCTCTACCAAGACATCATGCACTGGGGTACCACATGGTCCATTTCATGTGATCTATTACTCTGACATAAACCCATCTGTAATATATTGCCAGTATATAAGCTATTTAGTTTGTTAATTGATTAAGCTGTATGTCTTACAAGAAAACATGTAAAGGGGGGAACATGGGGGGAGTGAGCTCTCTTGGACCCTTGAAGATGTAGCTTCCAAATTTGAACTGATTAAATGGCACCTGTATACCAATTTCTAGAAAGAACATATGTGATGCTTATGTACAGTGTGGGGTGGGAGGGGGTAACAGTTTCCAGGTGCTAAATGTGTTTTGACCTTTAGAAGGAAGGCAGGAATAAAGGCTGAGGGTCTTTTCTCTGATAGAGAGTGGTGGGGCAGTGCGGAGGAAGGCCTGAAGGAGATTATTAGCCAGATACTAGGAGACACCGACATTCATATTTTAGAAAGGAGACCCCATTTGCTGTTTACAAATTATGTGTCACAACTGTCAGGTGAAGAGGCAGGGTTAGTGTGTATATATCTGATGGTAAGAACCCTTCCCTGGAACAGAGTGGAATTGCTTCCGTACGGTATCCCTAACAGAAAATGAGCCTACCTAGGCTATTTTCAGATTGTAGGTTGTGTTTTCCATGAGTGTGCTACTTTCCAGGTTTATACCTTGCCAAGGTCTTATTTAGAGAAGAAATATTACTGCCCTCTTCTAGAATTAAAAAAAGAAATTACTTAAAAAATACCCAAAGCCCAGGGTGATCCTCAGGTTAGCCTTTGAAAACATTTCCACAGACATTCCTCAGGGGTTTCCGCGACTCCTTAATATGGCTGATGTTTCATGTTTATTTGTTTATTTCATACATTTCAACAATCCAAGAAGGGCTGATCATCTGAGTTTTGTACGGCAGGTGACATGACAGCAATAACTCTGCCCATAAGTTACTGCTGTTAAGTAGCTTTAGCAATAGAGTGTCTTAAAAGCCATGAAGCATTTATGTCAATGTTTAGCAAAATCTCCTGAATTTAGCTCAAATTAAATGAAAGTGCTTTCCTGGGCACTTAAGGAGGCACTGTGAAACATCCTGGTTCTATACAAGGCGATACCAGGGTGACTTCTCAGCAATAATAGGGACCAGGTCGAGGCTTCTCTTCTTATTCACTTTGGTGAAGTATTCATCACAGCTCTTTGCACTCTGACCATTTTGGTGCTCACCAGTGCGGTGGTATTTCACCTGAAGAAGAAGTGAAACGCATGGGATGGGTGGTTGATATGTGTGAGATGACTGGCAAATGGAATCCCTTTGAAAACAGAGCAGACAAGAATGCCAGTGCTCTGAAAACTGCCTTAAACACAACAGTAGGAAAGCTGTGTCTCTTTTCAAGCAATAGAGTCAACCCTGACCATCGCCGTGGGAGCAATGCTGCCATTTATGGTATTGCTTCACACAGTAGGATTCATGACAAGAGGTCATTTATTTCAAATGGAGAGAAAAAACGTTAGACTGTGCCGCTTGTCTCCTGGAATAGCAGGGGCCCAGTTTCTCTATCTTGCTGCCAGAGTTTTTGGTTAATATTGCAGACAACCTGATTTTAAAAATGCTTCCCCAATCACATGAGCTTTCTCACTTTTCTTTCTGTCACACTCCCCCAACCCCCTCCCCCATTTTTAAAGCTTCTCTTCTCTGTATTCCCTTTTCTTTGCTTATCTGCTTTCTCCATGCTCTTCTCTTGCTATACCTGTGGCCTTTCCACTCCCGGCTCTTTAACCACACAGAATTGAGTGCAGAGAGCAGGCAGCTGTTGAAAGAGAGTCACAAGGGAAATTTCATCAGCCACAAAATGACATCAGAAAACAGAAGAAAATCTCCAGCCAGCATCTAAGAACTGCTTGACAGTTAGATTCTCTCTCATGTCTGCGGAAGTGATTTTTTTTTTTCAATCGGATGAAACCAGGCAAGAACTAGCCAATGCCCCTCCCCTGCTATTGCCACCTTCCCTAAACTCTACTAGTCTGATCTCTCCTGTTGTATGGCTCTTGGGGGCTGATTCCCTTTAGCCAGAACTCCCTATGGACAAGAAAAAATGAAACAAATCCTTCATAGTGAAATATCATGTACAAATTGTGAGCTAATAAGGGTTAGCTTCTTGACTGCTTATAGAATTAATTTTCCTAGGTTGTCAAAGCAAGACAGGTGATGGGCCAACAAAGAGAATAATCATTTCAAAAGCCCGCTGGTCCTTCACAATCTTGGGTCCATTTTATTATAGTATCTTCAGGAGGTGATTATGTTATTACCAAATTCAGAGAATATACTATGTTCTGCAATGAGTCTTCTTTTCTTAAAAAAAACAAATGTTTCCTGTATAGTCACCTATTACTTCCAAAGGACTCTCTTGCTTTTCAGGCAGGGAAGTGTCAAGTCACCTGGTCTATATTCTTGGAAAAAGTGAAGGTCCTGCCTGTAGTTGGGGGTTTCCTTTCAGAATGTGAAGTTGGCACACTGAGAGGCCTAACCTGTCACTTCCTATAGGGCAAGTAGTTTCACAGCGATCCTTAAAGAAGTGTTTTATAGTATTTTGTAGGAGGGATAGCTGTATGCCTATGTGCAGGAGGAACTAGATTGTTGGGAGATCTTGGCAAAACCACCACTACCAGTTTGATTTTTTTATATGTATTTTGTGGGCCAATGTGTTAAAAAGAGATACATTGGCCTTACAACCAAATTTCTTCTTGTGGAATAAAAACTGATAATAATCTTGCATCTTCAAGAATCTGATGACTGAGCTTTGAGGGAATGTACCCCACAGGTGGACCAGAGTCTGGTCAGTTCCCTCCAATTGGAGTAAACTATTTAATTGAGGGCCAAGGAGCTGGATAGTTTTTTTCTCAATCTTTTATCATTATCAGAAAATTATTACCTGTGGATACTGATAGCAGCTGACTGATAAATCCGAAAATAGGCCTTGACAAATGGAATAAGTAGAATAGGTGAGATTACATAAATCCTTTTATGACCTGCCAGGGGAAAAAAGAAAACAATAAGCAAAACAGACTTTTAAATTTTAACTAGTCACTGCAAAATCTAAATTCTGCAAAGTCTATTTCTATTTGATTCTCTTAACATATGACAATCTAAATCTTAAAAGCATTATGCTCTGCACAGAACACGATCATCAGCTTTGCTGAAAAAGTTATCTTCTATAGCTCAGAGAAAGGGATCAAGCTGCCCCAAGCATCTTTGAGCCCACCCACTTTGGGTCTGAGGAGGAATCCCACCCCCGCCCTACTCACAATACCCCACATGCGTTTTAATTGTGAAAGACAGACATTTTCCACAGATACCATTGAACCAAGAATGGAAACTCTTTTCTCTAAGAACAACAATCAAGTTATAATGTAAATAGTTATATTAATTATTTTCCATGTGATTAAAATATAAGATTTTATTTCTTTTAGCACTTGGGCAGTTTTTTCGCTGTCTGAAATGGCTCACATTGACACATTTCCTTGGTCAGCAAGCTGAAATGGAAGGCCTCTGTATATGGACTCCTGTATATCTAACTTTTGATTACGTGGGACCAATGGCCAGTATATTCTAATGGACACAAATCTCCCACCCCTAGTTAGCATTAAACTGTTCACCTTGCCATGTCTATCTTGCGACAAGACCTGACGAACCTGCCTGTTATTCTGCATGATTGGACTCCAAAGACTACTACAAATGATGAGAATTGTCCTGTGTCCGTGTTCATAAAACGGACTTAAAACCCACACCCATATTCATACACATCTCACCTCTACAGTTCTAGATCAATCCTGGAAGGCAAAACTACGTAAATCCAGTTTCTCTGCAAGGTCTTAGTGGTAAGAACTGAAAGTCAGCCTGATGGATCAAATGCACTTCAGTGATGTTTAATAAGGATTTGAAATTATTTAAATCATTTCTGTGTTCTTTCTCTCTTTTTTAATTTTTTTTCCTTTGTTTTCAAAATGTTGGTGGAACAAGAGGGCGAACGAGGGGAGAACTTTGGCTTTTTTGAACTCTTTGTAGGTGGATACTATGTTGATACATTATGATTTCTGTTTCTTATGAACTATTAAAAACTAGAGCAAATATGCTTCCAGTAACATAAAACCAAATCCAAATCCAGACTTTGTTGGAGTTTGCCTTGTTGCCAGTGGCTGTTGTCCTGTCTTGGGTTTCATGTCCTGACAGTAACTCTGAAGCATCTCACGTTTCATCATGTGGTCTGATTGTGCCAGGGAATAAATAAGAAATGAGGAATGAGCTACTTTTTCACAGTGGGTAATGAGTGTGTAATATGTATGTGACCATGCAGAAGGCTGTGCTTTCATTTGAGATTGGTTTCTTCTAAAAATGACCTTCTTTTCTATCTAGGGATATTGGTTGTACATCTGCAATTCAGTAAGTTTCCTTTAAAGTATAAGATTGATGGAAAGGAAAAAATAATTTTCTGGAAGTATTAGGTGACTAAAGCAGGGTTAAATATCTTAGGTTAATTTATTAGAATTTCTAATCAGTTTAATTATTACTCGAGAGAGGGTAAAAGATTTTTTTTGTCTACATGGTAGCCAACCTTAATATCTCAAACTCCTTGGTGAATTTTTAAAATATGATTTTGTTTCTTGATAAGGTCACCAAACCCATGTTAATTAAGCTGGAAGTGTCTGACAGTGTTGAGGAATGGCCCTTCTATTTCTGTAAATAAAACATTTTGTTTAACCAGTTAACTATTAGAAAAAAATCTGGAAGATAAACATACCTATTCTTTTGCGTTAACACAATTTATCCTTTTATTTATAAGAAAAATAGAAACCCAAAGCCTTTTGTTATCTCTGGCATAGATTTTATTCTAATTTAAACCACAAATCTTTACTATCTTAGTAAAATAAGTTTAAAAGTGGCCAAATATAGGTACCTGAAAATACCCACAATATTAAGATGGGAAATTAAATTCCACAAGATTGCTTATGGAGAGAAAGGGTCAGAAGGAATTATTGGTGCATACCAGGTACCATAAAATGTTACCAAATATTTGGGTAAGTTTGACCCAGTTTGCAGTAAGAAGAAAGGTGTCTTGAAAACTACCTTATGCAGCAACCAGTCTAGAAGGAGGATTCTGTTTGCTCAGTAGTTGAACTGGGTTTTACCCAAGATAGAGATTTTTTGACCTTACCGATTTATCAGAATGATATTTTTTACTTGTTGCGTGCCTTTCCTCCCAGCTTTTTGAAAGGCATGCCTGGAAGACATTTGCAACTAGTGAAACACACTGAAAATCCCACTGTCTCAGATCAGTTCATGTCAGGGACCAATGAACGTGGCAAGTCATGTCCCTCAGGTCCAGACTGAATTCCATCTGCTCATTCTTTTAGATCAGTGTGTTCTGTTTTAGTTACTGAAACAAGCTGTAGAAATGCACAGTTCTTGAGCACATGAAATGTGATGGCACATACACAAAAAGAGTCAAATGCCCCTTTGAAATTTCCCATCCTCTCTATGTCACATATTTCTTGCTTTAAAGATATGCTTATCCTAGTATAAAACCCAATGTAAAATGTCTGAAATGCAATTTAGAGGATTTAAGCTTTACTCCATGGAGTGAGTGACTTCACTTCCTTGTCACTGAACTTCTGATACTGTCCTTCCCTGAATTCTTGTCTGGAATCCTTCTGTTTACCCAGCCGTCCACATTGTCTGCAACTCAAAAGCAGGTGCAAAATGTTATTCATCTTAAAAACTCTTCCACACTCTGCCTAGAAAAGTGTATCACTCATAGTTTGCCTTCCATTAACACTTTTATATTCACATTTGTGAAAATATTGTCTGTGAACAGTTATACACAAAATCAATTTTTATAACCCAAATAATATTTTACATGAACTAAGGAAACTAGTAATATCAAAGGACTTCGTTTATGAAAGGAAGACTTTCAAAAAGCAATTGCTTCTTCCTTAATGTTAACATTTTGCAACTTCGATTTGGTGCAAATCAAGCTCTAAGAAGATTGCTCTAAATTTCTAGTTTAATTTCTGAGGTACGTTCTTAAGTGGTACATTCATTCACTCCAAAAATATTTATTGAACATCTATTTATGTGTCCTAGGTAGGAGACAAATACAGTATAGTCCTTATCCTCACAACTTCAGAGTAACTTAATCTTTCAGTTTAAAAATAAGTGGTTAATGCAAAAAAACATTTAACTCATTTGCTTACTTTCTTTTAAAATAATAATGTATTCAAAGTAGTGGTGTGACTTGAATGATTCCATTTTTATTATTCTCTTAAAGCAATGAAACAAGAAATCTGCTTCTTTCAATATTATTATTTTGTCTAATTGCATGTAAGCACACTTAATGAATCAGCATAAGAAAACTTTGGATATTTTCCATGACATTATAGGAGATGAAAACATTTTTTACAATTTATTTAAAAAATAGCATAGAGATGAAAGATACAAGTAGGCCTGCACTAACTCAATGAGGAAATATATGTATCTTTACTCTCACTCTTTTTTTGTTGTTTTGTGCGGTACGCGGGCCTCTCACTGTTGTGGCCTCTCCCATTATGGAGCACAGGCTCCGGACACGCAGGCTCAGTAGCCATGGCTCACGGGCCCAGCCGCTCTGTGGCATGTGGGATCTTCCCAGACTGGGGCATGAACCCGTGTCCCCTGCATCAGCAGGCGGACTCTCAACCACTACGCCGCCAGGGAAGCCCTATTCTCACTCTTTTAATCAAAAGATTTACAGCTATCTTTTGGTAGGTCTTAAACAAATTGTCAGTCACCAGATAAAGGGAGAAATATGATGACATTTTGAGATGTTGTCAATAACTTATGATATTTGTATCCTGGAAAAAATAGATTAAAATTTCAGAGGCTAAAAAACAACAACAAAATAGAATGGATGCTTTTT